TGTGTGTGATTTTCTGTTTATCTGTTTCTGTTATGTTCCTCTCATTCCTCAGTCTGCTTCTCCACTCAGTCTTTATCATTCACACCTGTCCCTCATCAGCCACTTGCCCAGGTGCTCTCATTACTAACTCTCCCTCTGTCACATAAAAAGCCTTTCTTTCCTTCACTCCTTGTCCGGTGATTGTTCTATGTTCACAGACATCACAATCCTCTTCTGCCTTGTCTGGTTTCTGCCCCCCTGATGATCTGCTCTGCATTATTTCTGATCCAATCTGCCAAAAGTAAGTTTTGCTGCACCGACAGCCTTTTGTTTTGTTGTTAAAAAAAATAAATTGTTTTTGGTTTTTGAACTCCTGCCTCACTCATCTCTCTGCAATTGGGTTCCAACCTCGAGGATCGTGACACTACCTACCTGCCTACCTTGCTTCCTTCCTACCTACCTACTGCTTACCTTGCTTCCTTCCTTCATTCCTTGCTTCCTTCCTACCTTGCTTCCTTCCTACCTACCTACTGCTTACCTTGCTTCCTTCATTCATTCCTTGCTTCCTTCCTACCTTGCTTCCTTCCTTCCTACCTACTTGCCTACCTACCTTCCCTCCTTCCTTGCCTCCTTCAGTATCGATGTCAATTTATTTCTATAGCACATAAAACACCAAAAGCTGGCCAACGTGCTTTACAGTTAAGTCAGATTAAAAAGAGTAAAAAATACATCTTGTCCCACTCAAAAAACATAAAAAAGTTTACAATAAAATACAACACACAACAACAATAAACTTTCTTCCTTGCCTGCCTACCCTTCATTTCTGGAGTGTAACAAAGTTTTGTTTGACTCATGGCCTGTAGGAAACAGTTTGACCAAACTGACCGAGGCGTTCTGTTACTGTTAAGCACACATGTATCTGCTGATTTTGAACTGGGTTCTGTGTTTCAGGACCCGGTGCCACCAGAGCTCATCAACCTGCTTCAGAGTTCTGACAACCCCCTCCTTCACCAGATCTTTTCTGTCAAAGAATCTGAGAACCCAAATAACAAGGGGCTCAGTAAAGTGACTGTGGTCTCAAAGTTCAAGGTAGGAGCATTTGTTTTTTCTTTGTTTCAGAGAAGTGTGTGTGTGTGTGTGGGGGGGGGCGGCTGTCAGCCGTGGCTCTGATGATGTAATTGTTTTGCTGCAGGACTCACTGGAGAGCCTGATGAATATCCTCTTGGGCACAACGCCTCATTACACCCGCTGCATCAAGCCCAACCCTGACTGCAAGCCGTTGACCTTTAGAAAGGAAGAGGTGGATGTTCTGCTCTGGCTTTTCATCGTCTACTTCTCTTTTCACACACACAAAAAAGTTTCATCTGATATCTTCTGTCAGGTTATCATGCAGCTGGAGGCCTGTGGGATTGTCGAAACCATTCACATCAGTGCTGCGGGCTTTCCAATCAGGTGCAGAACTTTAAATATCATCAACTGAAAAACAAAAGGCAGAAAATAATGTTTGTGTGAATGTGTATTGTTCTGCGTTGTCTGTTAGTAAAATATCTAATTACACACTGAATGGGTTTCATTGAAATTTCCAGAAAGTAATCATTAAATCCAGATCTATTGGTGATAAGATTTAACAGTCAGTCAGATTCAAGATGTCAGCTTCAGCTAATCAACCTTGGAAAACACAAAATGACCACAACTTAGTTTTACACACAGGGAGCTGAAATTTTGAAGTAGTAGTAGCTGATGGTCATTCCCAACTTGTACTCTGAGCTCTAACTGATTGTGTGATATCTATGTTTAAAATTTTGCCATGAACTACAGTCGTCAATCCTGTCTGTTAGCAAAATATCTTGTGAAACACTCAACAAATTTTATTGAAACTCGTAGAAAGTAATTTATGAATGTAACTCTACAACTGATTAATGTCTGATTTCAACCCAATTCAAGATGACCAGTAGAAAACACAAAACTAGTTAGAACTCTGTCAACTAGATATCGAGTCCAAATTAGGTATCGCAGTAGTTGACAATTATTCCTAACACAAATTTTACAATACAAATTTATTTGTAAAGTACTTTAAAACAACACCGTTGCCGAAGTGCTGTACACTAACACATACTGTACAAGCAAGCATAAAAATATATTAAATCAACTGAAACCGTAAAAGTAATGAACTGTTAAAATCATAAAACATCAAACAGTAAAAAAAAAAAAAAAATTTGCTAATATAGTGTGTGCGATTGTGCGGAACATTATTTTCAAGATTTATTCAAAACACTAAAAGGTTGTATGAGTTTCTTCAAGGAATACAGTGTTTTTATGTCACTTTTTCTCTTTTTAATACATTTGTATACTTTATTTCTGCTCATTTAACTTTTTTATCTTTATCTTTGCTGCACAGAATTCCTTTCAAAAGCGTCCTGCGGCGGTACGGACTGATTACCAAATGTTCACCATCAGGGAGTTGTGATGTTGGTGAGTTCTTCTTGAACAGTTTTCTGGTCAGTTTGGGCATTTCTGCTGTTGACAAACAGTGATTTTGTTTCCTCTCTTTAGGTCTGCTGGGTTATTCCTCTTTCCCTTCATTAGTCCTCTTAATAAAAAGAGATCCTCACTTCTCTACTCTCCTTGGGACTTTTTACTTTGGTCTTTAAAAACAAGACTTTAACAAATTTTGAAACATCTTGTAAACTGTACAGGTAAATGCACATCTGTCTGTCGCAGCTCGCTTTGCATGCTTTTCAACTCTTGCTTTGGGATTGTCATCTTAATTTATATTCATGTAAATCCCACTATTTGGCTGCTTTTGACTTTGCTTAAAGCATAGCTTTATGAATATAAATATTGGTTTATCTCAACATCAGGCTGCTGCTTTGGTCCATAAATGAAATTGTAAAAAAACATGATGGTGATGGCTTTACAACTGTCTTTAAAATTTTATGAATCTCCTAAAATAATACGTACGGCATTTAGTTTTCTCCTGAATTTTACCATGTTGCTAATGTGAATTACCTGTAGATGTTTATGGGTTTTAGAAACTTTAAATTATTTAAGGGCAAAGAGCTGCAGACTTTCATGCTCTTCCCAGGATTTACAGTTTTTGTATAAAGAAATGTCTCCCCCTTTTATTTCTCAAGTTTTATAGATCAAGACAGATAAAAACAAATCTTCTTACCAAAGCTGAAAGTAAAATATATCATTGTGTTGCTCTTCTTTTAAGTCAGAGTCAGAGTCAGAGTTTCTTTATTGTCATTCGCACCTCATGTGGTACATGTGGTGGAGCGAAATTATGTACACGGGGTCCCAGTTACATCCGACAATAAAATGTATAAGAAAAACAGTGATAACATCTAAGATATGAACTAAGAAAAACATCAACTAAATATACACTAAGCACTCATAACATAAAACATTGAACATCAGCACAAACATGAACATGAGTCTGTGAGCAGATGTGCACGCATGAACACATCAACATTGAAACAGATCAGCAGCAACATGAAACAGATCAGCAGCAACATGATATGGTTTTTCACAGTGATTATTCTAGTTAGAGATTCATGAGTCTAACAGCCTCAGGGTAGAAGCTGTTCCTCAGTCTAGTGGTTCTACACTTAATGCTCCTTAACCTCCTTCCTGAGGGGAGTGGGGCAAAAAGTGTGTGTGCTGGGTGGGTGGGGTCCTTCATGATGCAGGTGGCCCTCTTCCTGCATCTGGAGGTGTAGATGTCTGTGATGGTGGGGAGACTGATTCCAACAGATTTCTGTGCAGCCTTCACCACTCTCTGCAAAGCTTTTCTTTCTGCAGCTGTGCAGCCTCCATGCCACACATTGATGCTCGAGCACAGGATGCTCTCCACTGCACACCTGTAGAAGGAGGTGAGGACTGAGCTTCCCAGACCAGCTCGCCTCAGCCGTCTGAGGAAGTAGAGTCTCTGATGAGCTTTCTTGATCAGGCTGGTGGTGTTGTTGCTCCAGCTGAGGTTGTCATTCATGTGTACACCCAAGTACTTGTAGCTGGAGACCACTTCCACCGCAGATCCTCTTATGTTCAGGGGGGTGTAGGTGTTTTTGTTCCTTCTGAAGTCCACAATCATCTCCTTTGTCTTCTTCACATTGATGTGAAGGTTATTCTCTCTGCACCAGCTCTCCAGGTGTTCCACCTCTTGCCTGTAGCTGGACTCATCATTGTTTGTGATGCATCCCACCACCGCTGTATCATCTGCAAACTTTACAATGTGACAGCCTGGATGGGTAGCTGCACAATCATATGTGAGCAGAGTAAACAGGAGGGGGCTCAACACACATCCCTGAGGAGAGCCAGTGCTGAGGGTTATGGTGGAGGAGGAGAGGTTGTGGATCCTCACTAACTGTGGTCTGTTTGTTAAAAAGTCTAGTACCCAGTTGCAGATGGAGGGGCTTAGTCCTAGTGTGGATAGTTTGTCCATCAGGGTTTGGGGGATCATGGTGTTGAAGGCAGATTTGAAGTCCACAAAGAGCATACGGACGTAAGAGTTTTTCTGCTCCAGGTGGTTGAGCGCAGTGTGGACCACAGAGGAGATTGCATCCTCTGTTGATCGGTTCTCACGGTATACTGATGAGGGTCCTCGTTGATGTTGATGGTTGTTTTGATGTGAGTCATGACCAGTTTTTCAAAGCAATGACGCTGTTGTTGTAAACTCTGACACGCCCTCACCTGAAAAGGGGGGGGGGGTACAATCACACGTCACCGACGGTGACCCATCACAAACTGAAACATCAGACACAGCAATAGCTGTGCTAACGGTTCAGTCAAACCAGGGTGGCACAAACAACAACGTTGCCGCTGTCACGGACAGCCACCAGGACCTTGTTGTTTCAAACAATGAGAGCCCCTCAACACACAGTGAGCGGGTAATCTCATTAATGACGGAGGCCCGTCAAAAGCTGAACTCCCAGGAGCAGCAGCAACTGCACCAACGGTTCGGGAAAACCGAGATTACACAGGTAAAGGTAAACGTAAGAAGAAACGTCGGCCAAAACCTACAAGGTTCCTGTGTAATCTGATCAGAAAGGGGGTCGCTAAAAAAGCTTACCTGTCGATCACACTCGAAGGGGTCGTCACACATGAAGCCCTACTGGATGGTGGAGCCGACATAACTATTATGTCAGCCAAACTGTTTGAGGAGCTCAGGACTGCCGCTAACAATGTTCACAGGGAAATGCCTCTCATAGAACGTGCTATAGGGCTGCAGAGACGAGGACAACCCTAACAGCTATAGCTATGGTTCACATGCAGGTTGGCGAGATGACACTATACCACCCGGTACATGTGTCTCCGGTTGACTCATTCCCATTTTTGGTCGGCCAGGATTTTATAAATCGCTTTGACACGATTATAGATCATGGTGAACAGACAATGTGGGCCAGAGTGAGCAAACCCCTGCCAATACTCATGCCTTCTGAGACAGTCACAGACTGCCCAACAGCAGGCACTGCAGAAGGCACCGAGGACCTCTCAGCAGAGAGCACAGTCCCGGTAAGTACTCCTTCAAAAGCATGTGGAACCGAAGAGATCCAACTGGTGAACCTAACTCTGACTGAACAAGAAAGCCTCCTGTCTGAGCTGAGACAGTCAGAGCCCACCGGATACTACCTACCATTGGTAGTTCAAGGTGTAGAGATCCAAGGATCCCACACCAAAGATGCTGTACTGTCGCCGGGGACAGATAAACCAGCTATCAATGACGGAGCTGTGGACGTCCCTCAGTGGTCCTCTGACCCCTCCAGGCTGCTCGCACCTCTGCCAGTACAACCTACAGCCGAGGTAATGGCAGTCACACGTGCACAGGCTACAGCCAAGCCGGTTGACAACACAGTCTCTGTACAACCCGTGCTGACTGACCCAGACATCATCCAACTTCAGAAGTTGGATCCTGCGATAAACTCGATAATGCTGTACTTGACTGACCCAGAGAAAAACACTCCATCCGAAGCCAACCTGGATTCCAATCCAGACCTTAAAGCCTTCTTTCAGCTGCGCAAACAGCTAAAACTACTCAAGGGCTTCCTAACTTTTGCTCATGGATCGACGTCCTCACCCGTGTTCGTGGTCCCCCATGACCACAGGGGGGTGACGTTAGTTAGGGTAATGTTACCAGACGCGATAATGTGATCAAATCTGACAGTCAGAGTGAGTGACGCACCGTAACGTTGTTTCCTAGTTGCTTAATCACTACTTTTGACAATGTTGAAACGTTGTTTTTCTGGTTGCTTAGTCACTATTTTTGTCGATGTTGAGACATCGTTTAATTGGTTTTTGGTATTGTTTCTGAACACCCCCAGCAAGAATGAATTTTGTGTGTACTTTAGTTAGAGACTAAAAGGACTTTAACTGTGCCAACATGCAGTTCATTTGTTAAAATTCAATCTTTGAGGAGTCAATGTAGATTAATGCTACCTTACGACGCTCAAGCCGAACCTACTCGAACAATCCTATTCCGGGGGGGG